GATTGGATTTCTTAAAGAGAAGCACTTAAAATTGGGGAACTGGCTTTCTGATTGAATGGAAATGACTACTTGCAACAATTCCTCRGCTYTYCGCRCTCTGAACATGAACATAGCATACAGTACCATTTCTCCAGCGAATTCTCAGCCTTTCTTCGCTGAATTTGAATCGACAAACTTTCAAATCATTATCATTGCTTTGATTATCATAAATGTGCTGATATCTATTGCAGCTTTTGGTCTTAACCTTTTGATCATAGTGACTTTATTAAAGACGACTTCCTTGTGGATACCCTCCAATGTTCTTYTATTGGGTTTGGCTTTTTCTGACTTGGGAGTCGCTGTTATAACTGAACCTGCCTACTGCTGTTTCTTGGTCTCTWTATTAATTGGGGAGTTCACATTGATGACTAATTCGCTAGCAGTCTTTTCAATAGGGTATTCCATATTCTTTGGAGCATCATTTTGGACCGTCACTGCTATTACCATTGACAGATTTCTTGCCATAAAACTACATTTGAGATACCAAAGCATCGTGACAACCAAACGAGCAGCTATTGTCGTGGCTTTTATCTGCATTCTATCAATCATATGGAGGTTTGTTCCGATCCATCCAAAGACTTGGAATTTGATTGTCAAAATTCAAATATTGCTGTTGATTTTGGTCAATGTTTCAGTGATGGTAATGATATCTAAAGTGGTGCACAAACATCGATCCCAAATCCACGCTCAGGAACAATCAGTGGAGTTTAACATCACTTCATATAGAAAGACTGTCAACACTATGTACTTAATCATCGGACTGTTTGTGTTTTGTTCTCTTCCGCATTGGATATTCATGATTGTAGATTATTCCGGAGAGCAAGTTGGTTCGCCTGAGCTGAATACATCAGGGACAGCCCTTGCTATCAGCTTTTTCACAGTCACATTAGTAAATATGAGCAGTGTTTTTAACCCTGTTTTGTACTGCTGGAGAATTCAAGGCATGCGTAATGCTGCATCACGACTCTTACAAAATATTTGGGCAGCTTTCAAATTGTAGAAATTCAATGGAACTAGAACAATGCGGCCACCATCTTGAAAAGATTCCCAATCCACAGATCCCAATATCCCTCCCTCCTCATATAGAATGACGAATTACAAAAGTTTACTAATCATACTATACAGCCCATCTCTCAGAGGTAGTTTCTAAGTACATGACATTAGCTGAGAAACTTTTAATTTCTTTAAGAATTATAATTTAGTGATTCGAGTTCCACTTTTCAAGATGGCGGACGCATTGTTCTTCGAAACTCCTGATGCAGGTGTACATGTGAAATGCTTTAAAACTGGATGAAGCTTACAAGATATCTTGCCAAGAACAAGTCGAAAAGACGACGTAACACACTCAAGACGAATTAAAAAAGAAGCAAAGAGAAGCAATGGCAAAAATGCACAAAATAATTTTGTAATGCACAAAATAATTTTGTGTACGAACTAGCTTGCACTTTTTGAGCATCACTAGTTGTTTACTACGATCATGTGTTACCCTCGTCAATGAACTTTATTGCGTCGTGTTGTAATTTATTGCATCGTATATCGTATTGAAGTGGTGTGGTGGATTATATTGTTGTGTTGTGGTGTAGTGTGGTGTATTGTAGTGCAGTGTATTGTTATATTGTAGTGTAATTTGATGTATTGTAGTGCAGTGTATTGTAGTGTGGTGTAGTGCAGTGTATTGTAGTGTGGTGTAGTGCAGTGTATTGTAGTGTGGTGTAGTGCAGTGTATTGTAGTGTGTTGGAGTGTATTGTAGTGTGTTGTGGTGTGTAGTGTAGTGTAGTGTATAAATAATTGGACTCCATAGTTTACGTTCATTGTTGTATTTTTGATTTATTTTGTGTATGACCTTTCTTTAATATAGCTATTTTACTGCATGTTTTTATTTAATTTTCGAATTAAGACTATTTTGCTGTTGTAATTAATAAACCTCACTGTTCTACAAGACGTTTACATCCAGTACAACAATGATTTTTTTTAAAGTGCTGATAGCCGGTCTTTAGCTATTTTCAGTAGATGTATCACTATAATTTACAATTATTGGATCGCACGTTATGACCGTCATGTTGTTTTGTACATTTATCCAACATGTCGGCAATTAATTATTTTTCAAGAATACTTAAGTCTTACGGCTGCAGCCCAAGAATAGCGACGGCTTTCTGTCCTAGCATATGTAAGTCAATAAGAGCACCAAAAGAGATCATAGAATAACGAAACGAAGCGGAAAAAATTATATTTTKTTGTGCTTCCGCTTCTCCTGCTTTCAATCAAGGATACTCTTTTTTATCTTGTTTTTACTGTACAACTGAAATTCTCTTTTTCTCTTTTTAATAAACTTATTATTAAATTCCATCGCAAATAGACTTCCAGCGAAAGCAACCAATCAGATAACAATAGTTTTAGACCAACGTTAATCAAGGGGGGGAGTCCACAGGCAATTTTATGACTCGAATAATAATCATGGAATAAATGTTTCTCATAATAGTTTAGTTTAGATATTTGCCGTAGAGAGGGAGGGGTCCCACGGAGTTTCTTTTGACACCAGGAAGAGTTTGCTTGGCATTCAAAATCGAGACTTAATTATCGTGTCATTATGTTSGCGGTCATGAATCATTTATAGAGAGCAATATCTGCTAATTGGACCGGCAATTGTTTCCTAATCTCCGTTGGTACCAGACCTCATCTCTTYCACATAACCACAGGAATCCCATTAGTCTTTCATTAGTTCCACATAATTAGAAGGGAAGTAGCCGACCTGGTATAATAATATTCAAGTCAACAAAATTTCAAAGTTGAATATAAAAGTATCATAAAATTATAATAATCATAATGATTATTATAATAAATAACAATGACGGGTTACCTGTCCTTCGCATTCTCCCTTCCACCAATCACCGTCTTTATTTAAAATAAGAATTCTGGAGTTTTTCTAAAAGACAGAGAAAACAAACAATSATGGGCATGCGCAATGGGATAAATTGACACGATCGCTTTCAAAAATATCGCAGGCGCGCACATGAAAAGCAGGTATTTTTGGACAAAAACTAAAGAGCTTTGGACTCTCCTTAAAAATACCCCTGTATTCACAGAGATAAATTTGAGTTCCGCTTTGTCCGCAACTTTCTCTGGTCATATAACAAACACAGGAATCCCAATTTAACGCAGTAGTTAGATGGARGACTGTAAAGAAAGTACGTTCAATCACTTACTTGTATACTTATTTCTTTAGAATTTCTAGCTGCATATGGATATAACGCTTTTGCCCATCCAATACCTAAAGAAAACAAACAAACGGTCAGCACGCATCCAACCACTAATAGGCAGTTTGCCGAGACGTCACAATTTGCAGTGACGTCATTTTGTACAATAAAGCATGATGGGAAGTAAAGCCCTTACATTTTTCATGCCTAATAAAAAATTCCTCCAATTCCGTTTTTTGAGCTTTAATCACAGGGAGAAAATACAAAAACAGATTTTGGGAAGGATTTACTGTAAGCACATAAAAAATAACGCAGGCACCAAATTTGTCATAAATAGCGTCGCCGTACCAGTCTAATGTAAAGCAAAGTTGTATGTATTGGACTTCTTAACTATAATAGTGAGGTTTAGCCTCATTTAGCAGCCGCCCCTGTGTCACGCAACACTACACAGGAGTGGCTTCGAAGGGAAGCTAAGTGAAGTCGTTCAACAGTACCTTTCTCGCCCATATCTTCGTTAATCCCACATCGTAGCGTTGTATCAAGACCAGGAAAACTGACACCTARCGTGTTATCGCGATAATACTCTACTAATTCCTGGAAAAAGAAATTTCTTAATTCAGTCTTAATCTTAATTCTAGTAGTTTATTTTATACTAATTTTTTCTACATTTACATCGCAGCAATCGTCTCCAGTCAACGCCCAGGACCGGGTTGTTCAAAGCCCGAGGGTTAACTCCATAAGTTCTCTAAGAGTTAACTCAGGATAAGCGCTATTCGGGCTTTGAACAACCCGGCCTTGGAGTGCATTCGCCTTCTGAGGATAATATACATCCACAATTGGACCTACCATTATACTATTAAACTGTTTGGCTTGTGTAAGACAGAAGCATCCGTCATAAGGTATCTTGATGTGTTTTGTAGCATCGCGAAATCTGTTGAAAGGGTTGGTTTGCATTACTGAATGATTGCTTGGAATSGAATGGGAGGTTGAAGGAATAGATAAACAGAAGTTGGGATGAAAAAAAGATCAAGAATGAATGGATTAATGGACAAATAAATGAGCAAGGTCGTAAGAATACAATTAAGGAAAGAAGGTAACATGACTTTATATAAAAGGATTTTGCACATGATTTCCTTACAAAGTCAATAGTCATTTTCAACCTTGTGTGAAACAATTACTACTAGTCAGTGTTTAATAGTAACTATTAGGGTGTAGTAGGCTACCAAAAGGCAAAATCAAAACCGTGTTTGCCTAATTAGTTTGTCGCATTTCATAGGTTAAACTATTGGGAGCTGATAGAGGGTTATAGTATTTAATAGTATAATTCCTATTTCACAGACGGATGAAAATGACTTTAATCATCGGTTGGACATTCCCTTGTTGTTTAGAAATACAAAACATTCAAGGTGAAAAAAGSAAATTTCTTACTTGACGCTTAAAGCATATTCGCCTTCTCTGTTTACACTTTCCCGTATTAAAAAAGTTCCGTCAGACTTGTGGCTTAGAGCAGCTTCTGCAGAATTACGATCCATTTTGCCAGAAAACCTATTGAAATAATAATTTTTTTTGATTTTCTAAGCCATGCGAACGTTATTGCAATACTTCGTTATATCATAGTCAGCCTCTTCCAATAATTCTTCATATCATACCCAACCTCGTCCAATAATTCTTCATATCGTACCCAACCCCGTTCAATATTTCTTCATATCGTACCCAACCTCGTCCAATATTTTTTTCATATCATGGCCACCCTCAACGAATAACTCCTCACGTCATAGTCCACTTCAACCATTAATTTTTAATATCACATTCAGCCTTAGCCTATAATTCTTCATATCATACTCAGCCTCGCCCAACAGTTTTCATATAATATGATAATTGCTTAGGCTACCATACCATCCAAAGCGCGATAAAACGTCATTCATTTCGCCAGGTACTGGAGAAGGATGATCTGGAATTCTGGGTAACACAAAATACACAAAAAAACATTGAAAAATTGAAAACAACTACACGCTCTTAGAGCGCTTACACGGTCCATTATATCATTCAACTTACTCTTCCATTAAAGTATGTTGTTCGTATTTATGAGTTCGTTTGGGTCCCGTTCTCTGCAAAATATTAAAATCAATCAATTACCATTATTTGCCTTGTTACGCGACAAAAATGTACAACTGCACTTATCAATACTGCCCAATCAACTAGAGTGTTTCAGAGCCAACAGAAGGTTTTCTTGAACATYTTGATTGACAATCTACCGCTAATTGCACTTTTTGAACATTGTCTGAGCTGGTCGCACAGYGATGTAAACGACGRTAASGGAGTGTTTAGAAATGAAACCCGRTTTCATGTAGTGTGAGAGCGCAAAAACTGCAGCACTTTTCGCGCCTGAGCGTAGTTTAGTAGTTTGACAGTGCCGTGTGTTGATACGAAATGTTCTCTAAGGCGAGTTAGTCGAGCCAAACTCTTTTGTTTTCTTTCCCTGCAGGACTTAAAACAAGAGGTTGACTCCACTACCTAGAAGCAGCCTATCTCATGTAAACAGGACCTAAGAATAAATGACAATACTCACTTCGGATTTTCTTCTGTTTAAATCAGCTTCTTCTTTGCTAACAACATGACTACGAGGGAAGTATCCCACATTTCCAGAGGTTAACGATTTGCCCTGAACAAAAACAAAGGAGATTTAAAGATAATTATGTTTTTTTTTCTGTTGAAACCGTATTGCCTTTGTTAACCTATGTACGGCTACTCCACAGCCCACTCCTGTGGGAAACACTAGGGAGCTCCCGTGGGGGTAGGAGTGGAGGGAAATGGCTGCCTCAAGTATACCGTTTTATCAAGTGTGTGTGATATGGCAAATCAAGGGGAAATCAGGGAGAACACACTACGGCACACTACTACACTTAAACCCACTCTTATTTTGTATCATCATTGGAGGATTTGTGTGAGCTGCACCCCCCTGTTATAGACCAATGGTAATAATGATGATGATGATGACAATGATAGTGATGATGATAACAATAATGATGATAGTGATGATGATGACGATGATGATAGTGATGATGATGATGTATGATGGTGATGATGGTGATGATGATGTTGATGGTGATGATAACGATGATGATGGTGATGACGATGATGGTGATGATGATGATGATGATTGTGTTCTTACCTCCCACCACTCTGGATCTGACTGATTCATAATCTCAATTTCTTCTCCGACTTGAAGATACAGACTAGTCCGACGACTAGGTGCAATGCCTTGGAAACTAACAATGGATATYAATAAGAAAWCAAATTATGRTGACTGAAACATGCTGCAGGAAGACTTTAGTGCATCAATTAATCAAAATTATTGACAACACTATCATTTGATCAACTAAACAATCCAGCAATTTACATCTAAGTTGGATAACATAAAAAACTGGAAAATTTTGATACACTTACTTTGATGTGACTATCACAACATTGGCTAAAATAAAGAAAGAACAAAGAAAACATTCATCAAAAATTAAAATTCATCAAAAAGCAATAATTTCAAGCAATATATCTTTAAAATATCTATGATAAAACGTTCAAAAATRTGATGTCGAAATAATGTTTTCCATAGAYTRATCTGGAGTTTCTTGCTTCCCCAATTCCTTGATATAAAAATCAACCAAGACTTTGATATTGCATGCAAGAATCTAATGAGACTACATACACTTGCGAGCCCTTAACGAAGGCGGTCTTTCCCTTGCATGCATCCAATCAGATGGCATTACAGGTGACGAGGTCTGCTTAACTAGGGCTGGTGGTTTACTTGAAATTAGGAACTGATCTAGTAATGTGAATCACGTATCTTTTTGTCAAAAACAAATGGCACAAACAAGCATACTAACTGTAAATCAATACAATCTATACACAAATTAATCATACCACAACATTTAAAGTGACGTGATAATCTTTGTTGAACATGTGACTTAGTATTAACATATTATTAGCATTATTAATTAATCAATTAGGGTTATTTTGTTTCTTTAAAGTGAGATTTTTGCTTTTATTACATTTTTTTAACAACATTCTCGTCTATCCACAGTTCCCTGCACCATCTTGAAAAGTAAGCTGTGCCAGAAGCAATAATAGCAACCTTCTTTCACACCTACAGACAGTTATTTACAGGTATGCGTAATAATCTCTCTTTGATGCAAAGGCACAGCTACTTTTCGAGATGGAAGGGAACCTTGAAGAAGACTATTAAAACTATTTAACCTATTTTAAAATTATGCATAGTAATATTAATTTGTATTTTTATTTAAACAGCATTGTTAGATTGACTTGTATATTTTATTGTTGTGCAAGTGTTAATTTATTTATTATAAGGGCAGGTTTCTAAAGAGGTTATGGATTAAAAATACAGTTGTAAGTAAAAAAAAAATACAACTTAGAAGTAAAGTGCAGTTAAACTTACTGTACTGTCTCTTAAGGTCTGGCTTAATATGGACACTTACCAAAGACTCTAAGTCTGTACATAACAACAACATCACACACTAATACAACATACAATACAMAAACAACACTCCAGAATTCTTTGGTAAATATTGAAGTCTTTCTCAACAAGGAAATTCAGTCATTTCTACATTCCAAGAAAATTGCATGCAGCTTTGGTGGTTATTTCATGAAGTTCATTAGCCCATAGATCAGTTTTAATATATTTTTTTAGATGAATTGGAAAAGCAAGAAGTTTCACCAGAGATTAGTCTATCATGGAGAAAAGATACTCAAAGAATCTAGGGACTATATTCCTTGTTTGTTCTGTCACCCTCAGAAATAGAGGCCCTTATGTACAGAGCCCAGAAGTCAGGTCTGAATAGGTACCAGATGAATATAGCCCCCTAGCATCTTGAGAATGGTTATTGTAGAGTTAATAAAGACTTTTAAGTTTGTTTAAATTGAGTTTCTGCAAAGATACCAAAAGCTGATAGAATAAAAAATAACAAAAAAAACAATTTTTGATTCTTGATTTCCARTTATTTTTTTAAATTCACTTTCCTTCATATTTTTTTAATTATTAACTTTAATATCGTTTAATAATATGCACAATAATAATATAGAGTTGATGCTATGTTTGGTGATCACTCAATGAATGAAACCTGGTCAATTTTATTACTAAACGGCGCTTTCCATTTTGACAGAACTGCATGGCCAAATTGGTCTATTTWCTATTTATTTCATTGATATTTTTGATTRAATTTTCAAGTTGTCAATAATGTTAATGGCAAAAATTTAAAAATTGATTCTTCTAACTTGAGCAGAAATGATTGATAATAAATTTCTCTTTGGCGTTTGGTCAGTCAGTTCTGACTATGATAGGAAGCTCTTTTATTGAGTACTCAAGTGTGATGTCACAAAAATACTTTCTTTCGGATTCATTGAAATATCCTTAAAGTGCATGGAAAAAAGTAGCTATCTACCAAATTTCTAGTGCCATTGATAGCGGAGATACAAGCGATTTTAWGGCCAGGTGACCACATACAAACACTCTTTGTAAATTTGGTCACATTTATTTCGAAGGGAACGCGACCAAATTTAGAGGTGTTTGTATGTGGTCACCCGACCATAAAATTGCTTGTATCTCGGCTATAAATGACACTAAGACACTCATATTTAGCAAGGATGCATTAAAAATGATGCACTTTCACAATATGGAGGGCACATTTAAAAATTCAGATATATTCGTTTTGTGACGTCATCACTTGAGTACTCTATTAGTGACCACTGTAAAGATTGCTAAACAAATGTCAGCTTAAAACAGAAAATACTGGCTAAAAACCTTACCTGCAGCACCTATCCGTGGTGGGGCAGAAATCTTTCTTGGCCGTCTTTCAACTTCAGGACTAAGAGATCCTGATATGGTGTTTGTATGGAAGTTTGAGCGTGGTTGAAAGGGCGACACCCCAGCAAACTGTTTACTCTGGTTCTTATGGCATGGTTTACACTTAGATATGCAGTCATAATGACAGGCTGTGTCACAAACTAAAATGCAATAATGTTAATTTAGATATTGACTTCGTAATTGATGACACAAAAACATGTTTCTGAGTGTGTGTCTGCATCCCAGTATCCTTAGAACAACACAGTACACAGTCTAAGTGAAATTGCTTCATCCTTATATACACAGCTCTTATTTACATAATGTCACATGCACACTAGTGCCCAGTCCTTACATCGCCAAGGAAATTATTTCTCGCTCACTCTACACTCGCTACGCTCCTCCGTTACAAGAGAAATACATTTTTTTTTAAATTCAGCATGTTTTCACTTCATATATTTGAAATGAATATGGCGGCCACACAGCAGTACTGAAATAGGTTATGGCCCAAAAAGGGTTAGAGGACAGAYGCAAAGTGGTTGTGCAACGTATCTGACCAATATAAAAAGAATACCGGTCATCTCGCCCAATCACATACATCGCGCTAGAATCACATGAACTAATGGATATATGATATTGGGGCGAGATGGTGGGGCGAGATGGCAAAGTAGGGGCGAGATGGTGGGGGCGAGATGAAGTGGGGGCGAGATGGCAATGGGGCGAGATGACCGGTAACGATATAAAATAGTGTGAGTAAGGAGGCTGTAGTGTCAAATTCAAATATACTTACTGACACACTTGTATCCTTGATTTGTGAGACCCCTGTTCAAAAGTAATTCATAAATCAAAAGAGAATATAAAAGTACATTCAACTGAAGCAGAAAACGTTCATAGACCAATAAAATACACCTTGTATCCCATCTCCAGGGACCACAAAAACACAGCCCCAGTACACAAATAACATAGTTTGTACAATATAGAGAATATTACATAGGCACACAGTGATATGGATTTTATATTTAAGTGTTGCATTGATATTTCACTGGTGAGCAAAGTGTTATTTTTAGGTGWGAAAGATGTCACTTTTTCACGCTAGAGATTTCCTGGTATTTCATTGAGAAGTTTATAATAATAGAAATATTTATTCCACTTCAAGTCTTACCACAAAAGGTTCTGGCAGATACTACAGTATGTTGGATTACCAAAAGTATTCAAATCAAATTTGTGGTTTTCTACACAATAAAAAAACAACATTATAAAAAATACCAAATGAACAACATTTCTCAATGGGCAACCGACAACCGACAACAGAATAGTCACTTACTTTGGTCTATTCCTGTAAGTTTTAAATTGTCCCTATGGGGAAATGATAAAGGAATTAGTATTGGATAAAAATCATTGGTTTATCTGTTGCTTTAGGCCTTTTGTGTGCATGGCCTGGCCTAGCTTAATTGTATCATGGATTCTTATGAAATAAATAACAAATACAAATATTTTTAACTGGACTTACATTGCCCTTTTGATTTCATTCACCCATCTTTCTTTCATGTCCGCTGTTTTGGCATATAACGAGCATGAGTTTCTGTCTAAAAACAAAGATATTTTAAAGTATACTTTTAGTACATACTGTAAAACAAACAGCAAATGCAACATCAATGATGATGATAATAACCTGATTCTGGCGTGTCACCTTTCATACTCCAACCATGCAAAAACTAGAACAAAATGAACACTCTTAGCAGWGAAAAAACAACTTTTTGTGTCCTATAAGTTTATCAGGTACATTAGTAAAACAATAGAGATTAACTAAATTAGATTCACTATACAAAAGATAATACACAATACATGTAGACAAAGCATTCTTTTATGTTATGCCATCATTGGTTTTACCTTTCCCCTTCCTGGACCAAAAGTGAAGTTTTCTTGTAATTCAAAATATTCCAGGAATAGTGTTGCTTTATGGTGGTATGTGTCTCCCTGGATATCAATTATTTGATATTATTTAAAATATTTAATTGTTTGATTCCAAGACAAAAAGTAATATCAACTGCTAGAAGCCAGGTGAGACTGTGCACCAAAAATTGATACACAATGCACATCATACTTATTCATTTGTTTAATTCAAAGGCAAATTTTAAATTTAAGTTTAAGGGCTGTTATAAGCTACAATCGTTGACAAAATCATTGGACCATTCCAGCGAATTTCCTCATTATAAGCAACAACCGCAGACAATTTCATCCCCCCTGACCCCCTTAATGCAAAAGTTGTCATTGATCATGATACCATAGTACACAAGCATCCAAAACAAGATACAACATTGATGAAAGGGGGCTAAGGGGGAAAACTGTGATAAAATAAAGGAGGAAAATGGTAAGCTGGAGACAAATAATTGTACGGTCCAAGGAATTTTTGCAACAATTGTAGATGCGATTGTATTTTGAGTGCCTAGTACCAAGAATACAAATGCAAGCATGCATATCATACCTTGTGTTTGCATATTATTAGTGATCTATCAAATAGAAATGCATATCTACAGAAAACAAGCAAACAAAAACAGTTTTTAAAGACAGAGAAACAAGCAGCCATTTTAATATTTCTTTATTGAATAGTTGCATTCTTTTGAGAACATGCATATTGCCAGGGAATAATTTCGAGCAATCACGATAATGCTTAAGTCAAGAAACTGCAATTATGCAATATTATTTGGTACCTTTTCTTGGGAGGTCTGTCACTGATTTTCACTTGAACTTCTCCATCTTTGATGAGATGACCAAACTTAAACAGATCTTCACCCTATATTCAAAATATTCATATCTTCACTTTCTGAAAACCTGCCCTTGGTGCTGATTAAAATACTTATTATGAACACCAATAATTTATTTGTTTTTTGTAGTTAAATATCGTTTTCTTGCAAACACAACACCACTTTAAACATCACTTATAATGAACTTGTCTTCTATTTCTGCAGTTACATCATTTTTCACTGAATAACCACATTTTTCATCATTTTTCACTGAATAACCACATTTATGTATGATATTCTTTCTCCAGTCGACAATTTAGAATTGTAGTAGGAAGGAAGTTATCAAAGAGAAAAAAAAACACTCATTACTGAACTTCTCCTTTTTGCAATTAGAGGTACATTCTTTGGCTTATAAAAAATGTTTTTTTTTTTTACTTACAACTTCACTTGCAAGACTGTAAGTACAGGTAAGACATGAAAATGAAAACAAAGTACTTTAGTAATACGCATTAAAATGACATAAATTGACTGTATTATCCTTTTTACCTGTTTTGAATGTCTCTTACTGTTTTCTGGTTCTCATCGTCACGTTTTACTTGGTTTATATAAGTGGCAACATCCTGTAAGTAATATATATATAATATGAGCGGGAAACCTTTATGGGCATTTAAAACTGTGAGATGGAAGTGAGCAGTTTTAAAGCTCATAAACGTCGGCCATGAATATTTCATATTAATTATTTCTTATCAAATTCCAACATAAGATTAAGCATATTTTGCTAAAAACTTCAAGATAAAATGTACTTTTTAAAGAGAAAATTGAAGTTAAAGTTGTATGCAAATCAGGACAAATCTCTTGCTCAAATAAAGATGTGTTGTCAAGGCAATGACTTTCCAATGTTAACCTTATTAATGAATTTGATAATAATATCATACAGAAGAGTATAGTCAGAATCAATAGTTATTGATTAATATTATCAAACATTAATAATTCATTAGGTAAACACAATCATGGCAAATCATTGCATCTGAATGACATGTTGTACCTGAATAGCTGCAAGTGCTTTCTCCAGTCCAGCTCTATCAGGATGAATGGGTTTTGTTTCCTTTAGAAGGTGCTAAAGAAAATAACATGAAAAATACAGTATCAAAGAAACAGTAACTACACTGGAACCTTGTTAATCCAACCATGAAAGGCATAATAAGAGACTGCATGACTGTATTACCCAGCAGGCAGTTTTTCAGTTTAATTCCTTGGGTAACAAAAATCTGGCCATTATAAATTATAATGCACTGGTCATATTAATTGGATGGACATAAGGTGGGGTTTCACTTTAATATCCCTGACTATAACAACTACATGTATCCTGTCTCGAACTACAACACCATATACACCTAATTGAAGAAATGTTGTCGGGTCCAAAAAGATCAAATCATTGAAGCTAAGACCGAAAGGGTACTTTGGAAGACAAACAATTTGGCTAATTTCATAACAAACAGCTCTCCAGCATAAAAGACTATCATGCTGTTAATCTTACTAGCTCTTAGTATACACCGTATATATGCAAATGTAATCCCAATTTAGTGGTACTCAAAATCTTAGCTTCTATGATGTGACCTTTTCGAACACGACTACGTTTTTTCAATTAGGTGTATATTTATCTAGTATGACTTACTTACCGATATTAACAATGGATATTTGAGAACTCTTTGGAATGGTACTACTAGCAAAGACCGTAATGAAAACTTGCTGTTGGCTCTATTTTGACATTCCTATAAAGAAAGACAGACTTTAATGCCCCACGATTGAGTCATTGAATGTATATGCCTTTTTCCCCTTCAAAATGAACAACTGCTGTTTTAGTTAACAGCAGTCTCTTATGCACAGGTCTACATTACCAAAAACAAGCATGAAAAAATGTTGTCATTATACAATAGCCCTACAAATATGCATTTTCTCTGATTTGAGGCTAAGCCTGTATTCCCTGAAGGCTCAAACTCTAGGTCTTGTGAATACGGGCTTAGCCTCAAATCGGAGAAGATTCAAATTTCTATAGATATTGTAATGTCAACATTTTTTCGTGCTTTCTCCTGCTCTGTAGGCAAGTGAGTCTGCTATGTAGTAAAACAGCAGCTGCACGCATTGAACATGAAGGCTTATTAAAACCAAGACAATACGATAAGTTGATGGTAGAGAAATGATGCATTCAAATGTTTATCAACAAACTCATTCTTATGTTAAGTGCCAACCATGATCAGAATGACTTTTTAATTTTGTCTTCTGGTTGGCACATGAATAACAAAGGCTTACGTCATGTTGAGTATCGCTATTAGTTACTTTTCTGTACCTCTAAAACTTCCTTTACTTTCAAATCTCTTCTGGATATTTCATCAATCTGCAATGAAACCATTTCTTTTATTAGTTTTCTCTAGCCTGTAATCTATCCTACAGTATCTGGTATTTGGCACTTACATGCACTTGAGCATCGGGCATCCTAGCACAAAAATCACCATATTTCAAAAACTCGTCTTTCTATAAAGCAAAGGACATCTCAGTCAGTAGAAAAAAAATTAATGGATAAAAATGGTTTGTACTATAATATATTACATGCCACATCATGACTCTCTGTCTAGATCTGTCAGTCAATCTGTTTGTGGTTTAAAAATTGTTTTGACTTCTACAAAAACCAGCTTATAGTGCAAAATAGATGTGTTTTGTCACTATTTATATCATAAAGTGCTTACAGTTTCAATAAAGACATTGCTCAAGTCTGATGCCTCCAAGTTACAAGCCCTTTCAAGCTTGAGGTGGAACTTGGTATGTAACATGTGTAGGTCCTGTYAAAACAAAGAGATAAATAAATATAATTGATAAAAAAAAGATGGTTAAATACCATTCTGAAAAACAGCATAATCATAACAACAACAAACATACAAAATGATGATTGTTTTCACTCATTCCAAAAAGATTCAAAAGATAAAAGACTGGCGGCCATGTTGGAGGAATGAACAATAGATACCTATGAGAAATCCTTTGTTGAAGAAGTTCCTCCAAGATGGCCAATTTGACCTAACTTGAAAACGAATAATACAATATGTAATATCTTACCTCAATGTTGATAAATATCTTGTTCCTATCATCTACACTTATAATATTTTTCAATTTTGGATTTTGGATAAATTGCTATAAGATAATAACAAAACWATCTTTTACAAATCACTAATTATTCAATTAAACAATAACCATTTGTTATTTATAACACAATTATTGCCATCTAAATATTAGAGAATGTCTGCTTTAAGCATATGTGTMTTTTGTAAATAAGAAATAACCATTTGCAGGGCAGAAGTCAAAAGTTCTTAAAAGTTTAGCTTTTGAAAAAAWTGRTCCTTTKTCTGGGTTAACATTACARCGGTTTGTGTTGGAAGGTTSAAACTAGATCAACTGGTCACTTACTTGGACAATCATCCTCAAGGCTTCGACATAGCCTTTTTCTGTCTCTAGGATTTCAGTTATAACATACTTTCTTTTTTCTTCTTGTGAAGATTGTCTGGTTGGTTTCTTAAAAAAATTGAGATAAATAGAGGATATTACAYGGGCACRYGGAGATATGGATTTTATCTTCACGTGTTCCAAGAACGCATCTCAAGAGTGAGCGAAGATATCATTTTTTTCAAAATTATAGAATGATATTTCCTGGTATTTCATTGAAGATTATATAAGAAAAGCTACTTACTTGTATTTGCACTGATAAAATATCCGTATAGATTTTATCATCTTCTTCAATAGTAACRACATCGTATGGGTTTTCTTCTTCTGCAATATCTCGGCTCCTAATTATTAKYATGTGAATGTGTAACAAAACAAGAGAATACATAACATTATTGATAGYACCAATRAATATAATATTGCAGTTTGAAACACATTACTGATATGCCAATAGTCTTCTTWGCGGCTCCCAGCACCATCTTGAAAGGTAGCCATGCCTTGGCATCGAAGCGAGAAAACTGTTSYGCGTGCAATGATAGATACYTGTGGATAATTGTCTGTTGGTRTGAGAGTAGGTTTCTGTCATTGCACACTCAACRGTCVTCTTGCTTTGATGCAAATGCACGGCTACCTTTCAAGATGGTGCAGGTAACCATGAAGAAGACTTTTGAGCAAAGTTTCACACAAAGTGAAACAAAGAAAGAACTGTCCTTTCACTAGGCTCCAGTCACTTCAATTATGATTGCAAAACTGCTGATTATGTCATAAAAGATATCAATAAGCTTAAAGCCTGGTCATCACTAGGACATAAGCACAGACAATAGTCAAAAACAAAAGAAAAAAGACAAAGGCATGAAGTCAAGCGTGCGGTATAAGACATAGACACAACCATTGCAATAAGCATAAGATACAGAAATAATTAAAGAAAAAAGAACAAACAAAGAAAACCACCATGTTCTTAATCTCTTCTAATTACAAAAAAAAAATGTTTTTCACCCCTTAAATGCTTATAGTGTAGTGAAAGCCAGGCTTCAAAATACACTAGAATTAAGTTTGAAGTTTCTATCATAAAAGTGAAGTTCTTTTTTAAATGACAAACTTATAGCAATCAAACTAGCTAGCATCATTAGCTTTGATAACCACGGTAAGCTGTGCTGTGCTGTAATAACATTGATGATTACTCACAGAGCAATTTCCTCCAGATTTGAGTAGATGTCATCATCATCATACTGAGAATAATCACTGCTAGCTGGCGTAGTGGGTGAGAATGGTCTATAAATAAATTATCAAAAAATAATTAATATATTTTAGATAACTCTTAATAATACAAATACTGTAAGATCAATTAGGATTTCCTCAATCTATCTGAAATCTTTAAAAAACKGATGTTTTATTCATCAGTATCTTGTCAAATTATTGACACTGATTATTGTTTAGTCTATAGACTGTTATAWGTCTATACAATGCCTTGACACCTGCAAAGGACTCAGTTTGAATAAGAAATCAGAACTATGAGATCTTTTCATGGATTTTGCTACAATTAACAATTTTAACATACACAGTCGGTGAACCGAAGTGTSAAGGTAGACTGAGCATTTAAAAATTGCATAATTAAGTTCAAYATTTTTTKTTGACTTTTGRCGTTTTTCAAYAATTATCTGCTGGTTTAAAGCTTTGTACTTACTCAATCCCTCTTCTTAGAGCTTGGGGAGTGTAAGAAAGCTTTGACAATGTATTTACAACCTTGYAAAAGAAGTAGATAATAACATATCAGACAGAGTATTATCTGTAATTAGCAAAAATGAACTCTCTTTATAAAAATAGCTGCCTTTATTACATGTATGTATTAATAGAACTACTTTATGTATAATGTTGTAATAATGGAAATAAAAKCATAATATTCGATTAATTAAAAACCAAAAAATCACAGCAGCAGTTCGTCTAAAGTGAGCACCATTCATGCATAAACGTTTAAATAAGTATGTTTTTAATAATATATTGTATATATATTTTTGCACTGAGCTAAAAATTGCTTTAGCATAGCAATTATTKTATTAGAAAAACCCAAACAATAAAAAAAAGTTGGTAAAATTTTATGATTTCAAACTTTTTATATTCATGGGAAGCTGTATGTTTTCAAGGAAATTAGCTTGTTRTGACATTCTGTTTCAATATTCAGAGCTGAYTTGGTGGCAGATAGGTCGAAAAGTGAAATGCAAGTCTCTTGCTAATGAACTGACTGATTGATGGCTGCAAAGATTCACCTACAACAACAGCTTATGTGCGCTAGCATTGGGCTACATGTAGGTTGTATAAAGCATGATAAATGGCAAGCGGCATGAAGTATGAACCTGTGAAGTTAACCCTGGAGTACTTGTGTGTGCAAAATTGAAGCAACATTGTCTTATTTGGAGTTAATTTTCACATGTAGGATTTGCCATATGAAAAAGACTTTTAGCAACCAAAAAGACGATTTATTTAAATCAGGAAATGTTCACATAATTACAGGTGGTAAAAAAATTAATAATTGCAATCAATTATTATTGTTATGATAACTATACCACAAAACAAAATATATATATAGTAAAACAACAAGCCTTGCATAATTTACTTGTAAGTTTGTTATGTTTAAACTCACGCTCCACTCCTATGCATGCATACTAAAGACGATTAGTGAAGTGTTGAACTTCATAATAAACATAACAAGAGTCCACCAGCGAATTGCATTTTGTAGTTACTCAAATCAGATAATCTTCAAACGTCTTAGCTACAATGTACATAATATACACTTCTAAATACATAATTAAATGTCGTAATAGTTTCATCGGACTTTGATTGGAAATAGGCTTAAAATAATTGGAATTACACACAAAGTTWAGCTCACGTACCTTAGCAAAATCAGAGACATCGTACAGTTCCATATCATTGAAAAGATCAGCTTCACTGATGTTAAAATGCTGAGTACATGCTGACAGAAAATTCCTGATATTCTTCAAACACATGAACTAGTAAAAGAAGATAAAGAATTAGAAAGCTGCATTGTGTAGCAAGTCCACAKCAGTTGAAACACTCCTTCACTTGTTTATACGTTCTCGCTYCGTGTAGACGCTACACAGGAAGGTAAGCCCTTAAGGCCGTCAAGGACAGTTTAAGATCTAATCAAGTCTTGTTGRAGAAGTATGTACAAGTGTTAAACACATTCCTGTACCTGTGACATTTGCGATTTAATATTCACGTCTTTGACAGCATTGGGCTCGAGTGCATTCGCCAACTGACACAAAACAACTCCGTCTCTCAATGACTGAGCAAAGTCAAATAACGTTGAATTTGGGTCTGTTGCTCTRCTCTGAGGCAAAAGAACCCTTAATTTAGCCATCCAATCTCTTGCCATTTTCCACTCTTCGACATCGCGGCCAGATGAACGGCCGGAAGCCGACCGACTCCTACGAGCCGCCATCTTGAAAATGTGGACTGATACAAATTCCCAAGCACCATTGGGGCAACTTTGTAGTTAGGGAGGGGAGGGTTCAAGCGTTTTGTTTCTTCCTGCACGTTGTGAACGAMGAGGCTCCCAAACAGAGCTCATATTTTCCTGGGTTTAAACGTCTGATTCAGCAATGTAAGAGCTTAAATTATCTTAAATTCATATCYATAGTTAATTTGATGTTAGACTGCTATCTTGGTGCTGTTTTTCGACAAGAACGCGCATGATATAGTGTGCATGGACACTGCACGTAATTTGCGCGCTATTTACAGAAATTGAAGACACAAACTGGCCTTGTTTTTAAGCATTTACAACTTCAGTTAAGTTTTTCTTGGTTGAGCTAACTGCATATACATGTTAAACTGAAATCAGATCTGAGCTCTGAGTGTGCATGGGATCACACATTACTCCAGTCACTAACATGATTCTAGATGAAGCTTTAGCATGATCAGCTAGTCATGCATTCTATGAGGGTCAGGAGGGGTCATTGGTGTGGGAAGGGGTAGAGTCTCGGGGGTGGGGGTAGGCCTTTAGTATTGAATAGGGTTTACATTTAACCAATAGGCCATTTGCATTATGACGTAACTTTACTACAACTACCAGAGAGCCTTGCGCATTTTCATTGTTATTCAGATTTTTAATCCTATTGGAGATTAATAAAACAATTGGCACTAATTGCATTACAAAAGAAAGTTGGAAAAGCATCTGGTAGTTGTAGTAAATGACGCCATGATGCAAATCGGCTATTTGTCTGAATAGGGTGTGGATTTATGATTTTGCTGTCTTGAAAGTCAGATCTTACGTAGTTACCAGTTTGTCCACGTCCAAATGTGGATCAATTCTCCCCTCTCCCCCTACCCCCTGGGGAGAGTTTACACTTCAGTGTGTGACCAGACAGTGGTGGAAGTAGATAGCTGTTGTTGTCAAGTTTGGTTTTCAAAGTTGATGCAAGGGAATCTCGATCTTGCCCTTCACCTTTCGAAACCACCATCAGAACGTACAGCTACTGTTAACTTTCCCTTTCTTTCCTTTTCCATCTCATTATTTCAATATCATCTCCTTTTTAATTTTCCATTTCTTGTCTATCCAGTTTATTACCTAATTCATCTTATTCCTGATATCTTTATTAGATGTCAAAGTTGATGAGAGCAATACTTGTTTCTGAGTTTGGTGGACCAGAAGTTCTGAAGCTTGTCAAGGATATTCCTGTATCGAAACCTAGTAAGGGACAGGTATGGAAATGATGATACAATAATATTTACAGTTGATACATCATTCTAAGAGGGTTGCTTTTATGAAAAAAAAGACAGTCGATAATACTCCAGTTTCRAAATCTTATTTATGCAGAGGGAGTGCGGAGGGGAAGGATTAAAACAGTCAATAAGGGAGTGCATCCATTACAGCTCTTTAATAGCATTCTGTTCCATTCAATTTTGTCTTGGGTTGTAGTTTTTGACTGTGTGAGGAAAACCAGCCTAMCAAGACTTATTTGACTACTTAAATTGTCATTCCTTTCTAGGTTTTGATCAAATTGGCTGCAGCAGGAGTCAATCCAGTTGATACTTATATCAGATCAGGTACATATGCAAGAAAGCCAACATTACCATATACCCCTGGTGCAGATGGTGCTGGCGTGATTGAAGAAGTAGGAGAAGGTGTGACACAACACAAGGTATTAGGGCTGGTTCACACTCTGACATAAGCAGAAGCAGAAGCAGAAGCAGAAGAAGAAGTGTACTTTGTATGTGTGAACCGGGGAAAACAGAAGCAGATGAAAACAAAACTTTTCCATTTTCTTCTGCTTCTGTTTCTGCTTATGTTGAAAGATTATGAGTGTGAACTGGGACATCATAAGCAGAAGAACATGCTTCTGTCAAGTGTGAACAAGCTTCTGCTTCGGTTTCTGCTTATGCCATAGTGTAAACCGGCCCTTACTGTCAGTCACAATTTATCTAATCTTCTAATAGTCTCCTTCATGGTTACGTGCGCCATCTTGAAAGGTAGCTGTGCCTTTGCATTGAAGCGAGACAACCGTTGAGCATCCAATGATAGAAACCTGTGAATAATTGTCTGTAGGTGTGAAAGAAGGTTTCCTTTTCAAGAAGACCTTTCTGCTGCCGTGCTTCCTGTCTTCCACAATATGACTCAGGTAGACTGTGAACCAGCAAAATTCACAGAGGCAATAGAAGTAACTCTTTTCATCAATGGCAGGGTCCAAGGCCCAGCTTGACTATAATGATACCAAAGGGTTCCCAAATACTCAAAATAAAGTGTTGTATCCAAATATAAATAAGGAGGCTAATCGTAACCTTCTTTTTGGTGTGCTATAGGTTGGTGACCGGGTCTATACCTTCCAAGCCATGTCAGGAACATATGCAGAGTACACCCTTTGTAATGCGAATAGTGTTTACAAATTGAGTGACAAGTTGTCATTTGAACAAGGAGCCGCCTTTGGTGTACCATATTATACAGCTTACAGAGCATTACACCACAAGTATGTCTCATCAACTTGATTATCATTATTTGAATGTAATTTAGTAATTTGCAGTTCTCGAGACAAAAATATCTTTAACCTGTGTTACAGACATGTTGACATGTAGTTCAGGGTTATTGGACAAAATTATCTTGTGACTAAAGTATTACCATTCAAAGTTCAATGCTTTTATTGAAATTTCAAAAAGTAGAATTTGCTTTGCACTGACTCTACCATAAACAAATTTAAATTTAAATTAAAATTTTAATTTTAATATTAAAATATGTATTTTATATTTGMTTGCTACTGGATGTCAATATATTGTTTCGTAATGTTGTTATCACGTCACCTCAAAATGTCAGGTTCTGTCTTTATTATGAATTGTTGTAATGTTAGCAGTCTTTTGTCTTGTATACATTTCTTATCATATGCTCTGCAAAATCCTTTTTTCCAACAAGGTTGAATGTACGCCCTGGAGAAACTCTGCTTGTCCATGGAGCAAGCGGAGGGGTGAGTTCAAGTTTCATAGTAAGTGATTTTATCTCCAAGTGTAAATTCATTATATTATTGATTGGAAAGGTTGGAACTGCTACCTTGCAATTTGCAAAGAATCATGGGATGATTGTCTTTGGAACAGCAGGAACGAAAGAAGGAGAAAAAATAGTTCTCAATGCTGGTGCTCACCATGTGTTTAACCATTTTAGTCCAGGCTACCTGGACAAAATAAAGGTAAGTTAATATTACAAGCAGATTCTAAATTACTGCACAAGCACAAGTAATATAGGATAATAATTTTGCATGATACCTCCCCCTTAACAAGGTTTTTGTTTTGGAACCCCCCCCCCCCTCCCCCGGTCCTGATAAAAAATGAACAGTCCCTTACTAATCTCCATCACCAGTTCCTTGCAACATCTTCAAAAGGTAACCTTGCTTTGGCATCAAGTGCAACAAAATATAAGGGTGCAATGATGGATACCTGTGAATTAAAAGTGTGAAAGTTCTGGCATTGTATGCTCAACTGTTGCTTTTTTCAAGATGGTGCTTGGAACTGTGAGAGGGGATATATGATTCTTACTCAATCATTCTACAATTTCATAAGTATTTAAGGAATTCCAGCTATAGTCAACATAGAAATGTAAATGTTATTTGACTTGTCTCACAGGAAACTACAGGTGGAACAGGGGTTGACGTCATTGTAGAAATGCTTGCCAATGTAAACCTTCACAATGACTTACAGCTCTTAGCTTATGGTGGCAGAATTGCAGTAAGTGCTTTTAAACATACTATTGCTAGGTGCATACCATCGAGGTCTGCTATGGCACATAGTGCAAAAACTGTTTAATAGTTCTCTACCAAGACATAGCATCATAATTTCATGTATTTGATCAAAGCTTTATACAGGTTATACAAGTTAAACAGGTTTTGTTCTATTGCTTCCCAGGTTGTTGGTAACAGGGGGAATATTGAAATTTGTCCCAGAGATCTAATGGCTAAAGAATCTTGTGTCATGGGTGTCAAGCTATTTGGAGCCACAGAGGTATTTTATCCATGGGAATGTTTGCTTCTTGAATTATCTCACTAAGTCATCCCTCCCTCTCTCCTTTCTTTCACCCTTTCCTTTGTTAGCTTGTTCATTTGATTCTCCTTTCCTCTCTCCCTTTGCCCTCTTCATCCCTTCCCTCTTCTATTAATCCCTTCCTTTTTTTCCTCTCACACTCCCTCCCATTACTCATTCATTTGCTCTTCACTTCATTTGTTCCCCTCATTACTCTAATTCTCACCCCTGCCTCCCTGCCTCCCTGCCTCCCTGCCTCCCTGCCTCCCTGCCTCCCTGCCTCCCTTCAAACCTTCCTCCCATTCCGCATCGCATTTTCTTTTCTTCTCACCCTCTCTTTTTCACCCCGTCCTTCCTTCGTTCCTTTTCTTTGGCCTTCCATTTTTCCATTAAAAACATATTAAAACAAATTCCTTTTTCTATATAAACTAATATAGAGACCATAAATGTCCAACCTCTATAAAGAGAACAACCTCTCTTTAGCGGGCATTTGCTTAGCGGGCATACTGWCTACAATGCATGCCTTCTATTACTTTGTGGGGCCTTTTTGAAAAGTTGACGCGAATTCGTTGTTGTTTTTCAAATAGAAAGATCTCAAAGAGACTTCGCTAGTTATCGACGCCGGAATGGAGTTGGGGTGGATCAACCCYATCGTAGGCCGTGAAATCCCTCTAGACGAAGCGACCAGAGCACATGAAGAGATACTTTCCAAAGACGCTCTTGGAAAAATGGTTCTTAAAATATAAAATCTGCATGAATTTCGATAGATGAGTTTCCATGCAAAAAGAAATGGTGTGGTAACGTCATTCACTTACAGATCTTCAAAAGATCTATAAAACTGCATCTTTGCAAAATGGAGTCATAATGTAGAAATTGCGTATAGATCTCGATTTCGGACTTTTAGAGACAGATGTTGATCATGCGGATCGTGAAGAATGTATCTAATGCCTCATGTAGACACTAGGCTTAGAGAATGAATCTTAAAAGGATAAAAGATAAGACACTCATGACTTTGTAATTATTCAAAATATGAGTTTAAGTGTTCATTAGTGTGTCAAAACACTGAAAATCTGATTGAAAAAAACGAGGCGTAGTCGAAGTAGCTATGCTGTGACTCTATAACGGTACTATACTTTCCCACGTTTTCGCACATTCTRTTTACTTTGAAGGTTTGAGGACTTTGATCCGGTATATAAACAGCACTTTCGCAAAAAAGAATAACATTATGTAATAACAAATGTTTGTTTTATGCAAAACTATACCTTAAACTTGAAAGTTTTCATTGTGAATCTAATAATATATACTTTTCTAATTATTCTTGAAAGCTGTGAACAATTTCTTGTAACATCTATGCCCATACTTTTGCTTATAAAAAAGACGGCAAAACGTTTATGCATATTAATTATGGTTTATGGAGCTCATAGCGTTTTCCTACGCAAGTGGCACGTAAAAGTTCAAATAAATTGCTGTTACTTACAAAAGTCTTCGCATCCGTCGAGACGAAAACATATCCCTAGACAATAAACAAARATTAGCAAATGTTCGGTCGCACTAATTTTGATTGGMTGTCGCTCCACCAAAAAAATTCATCAGTGATCGATGCTACAAGCGGTTTTCAGTTATATATCGTGTAATTGAGAAGTACGTACACCCGTTATCAAGAACAGCCGCAAAAGCGTCTCTAATTATACAACAWAATGTACTGGAGGTTTCAAGTTAAAGAAATATAAAGTCGTATATAATAAGGTAAGAACTCTACATTATGTAATCTATTGTCACAATACCATGAAAAATGTTTTTGACATGTTGTTCGGAATTCTAGATCACCGACAATTCAGTCATGAGATATTTGTTTTAACTGAAATTACCTTTTAAYAAGGTAGCTCAAATATAAAAGCGTTTTACTATAATGAAAGAATCGAAGGTGTTAGGAGGAACGGCGATATAGAAAATCCGGAGTAAAGTAATTATGTATACAAAAAACTTTAAGAACGAGTATTATTATGCAAATTTGCATCTATTTTCGCTTTCGCTATTGAAAAACAAAAAAAATCGCGCCTAAAGCACATGAACAACTTAATGATAAAGCTGTCGCTTCAATATTATGTTGTAATTAAAAACGTAATCTTTATTTATATAGAGGACTGTTTAATTAAATTGCAAGCTAACTGCACATTTTAACAACTAGCTTGGGTACAAATTCTCTCCATTGTCAGTTTCAGAGGTTTCATTTACCACTGCGGGTTAGGGTCACAGCAGGACTCCAGCAACAGGACAAGGACCGGAACCTAACACAACAGTTCAATATTAAAGGACKACGGCGAAATTTGTSTATRATAACTGATTGATAGATTGAAAGTATATACGGTAAGTGTGTTTTGGATTTAATTATAGTGGTATTATATTAAACGTGAAAGTTGTAGTGGCCATTACAAATGTTTTGTTTGCGCGATATCAAAGTAYGATRTTAYGTGTGAATATACTGTTTTGGATTAATGCAAACTTGATCGATATCGTGATCTTTGATACTTAACAAAAAATCAATCAAGCGTTTTGCTGATTTTTTGATGTCTTCGCACTTTTCCCTAGTTACTGAGTATGCCTCTATCACCATTATGGAAAAACGTAAAATGATTTTGTATTCATTTTGATTAATTAATTATCTAACTTGGATACACGAAAAACAATATGTTTCCCTAAAAAATATTAAACTATATGACAAGAAAACTTTCTTAACTTCACGCGATGATCGAAAAACTCTATCTGTCAAACGTCAAACGAAGTTAAGTATGTTAAGGTGTTTGAGAAAAAAWATTCCAAGTTAGCATAAATTGCTCAAATTAAAGTTTTGACTGACGTTAAGAAGTTTAAAACTGATTATGGAAGCAWTTTTTTATGGAATTTTTTAGGGGGGAATCATTTTGAAAGGGTTTTTATAAATCAGTTTATTTGCTTATTGACCAAGGTATTTGCGGCAGGTTTTGTTTTATGTAGTAGCAGAGTCAGTAGAGGGAGATATCTAGTTAACGAAAGCTTGAAACTTGCGAAATTTGCGAAAAATGTTCATTTGTAGAGGAAATGTCAATCTAAGACWTCAGAAAATGTCAAGTAAAGTATGGTAACTTACAAGAAAAGGTGCTAYTTGAATAATCGCGTGACTCGAGCGTCCGCCGAACAGTTCGAAATCACGGCATTGCCAGTCGTGGCTCACAGCAAGAGCTCGACGCTGATTCAACCGTCGAGCCAGTGATCGAATAAAATATATMTTTTTACTACAGTAATTGTGGGTATATATTACGTTTTATCGGATCTTTTCTCGTGGTTTTAACTGCACTTATGATACATTGACTATTTGGGAATTTCGCAGATTCTGCAATTTTGTGCTCTGCTATGCAAAATGATGCAAAACTGGAAGTTACGTAATAAATTTGTGGATAAAGGCCATTAAAAGACTGCAGCTAGTACGATTACCGCATGCATGCACGATTTACTAAATAGTACCATTTAGTTTGTACAGTTGCACGGTTTTTAAAAGTGCGTTCAATCTAGTAGAGTACTTTTAGTAGAGTGATCGCACTTAAACCGTGCAACTGTACAAAATCCTAAGTAGTACTAATTTGTACAAAAAGTGGACCTGAAGCAAGACAGTATTGCCCTATTTCATTATGACGTCACAGTATGTTTACATCGGATAACGATGCTCAAAAACAGCGGAAATTTGGACCCATTTATATTGTCGACTAAAGTAGAACTTCAGTGAATCGTGTTTTGATATATATCATGTATAAATGATTGYTYATGTACATTTKATTTGATATGCAGTCACTCTGATCCCTTCTGGCGACCATAATCCTTAGCGTTAAAACAATAGAATGTTTCGATGTGACGTCATAATGAACTAGGACAATTGAATGCTTCATTTGTATCAATTCAATTTGATTTGCGTACCGCATGCACGATTTACTAAATACAACTAAATAGCACTATTTAGTTTCTACAGTTGCACGGTTTAAGTGCGATCACTCTTAGAAAACCCATTGTTTTATTTTGCTCACAATATGAACAAAAATAACTTTCAAAGGAAATTGCGATTTTTTCGGTGATTTTAGCAAGTCGAGCATGGAGATTTGAGTACAGACTGCTGAGTTAAAAAAAAGAACCGAAGTAGAATAAGTATTTCGCAATGTTTTGACGGATTGGCCACTTTTGTGGTTTTCCGACGGGTCTTTGGTATTTACATTGTAGAAATRCTTCGATCACACTAGTCAACCAGTTTTGRTTGACTATTTCAACCCATTATTTTTTCAAGCTGTTTTGTCCCAGAGTTCATGATATAGAAACACTGAAATAACTTTGATTATTTGAAAAAAGATATATATTTTTTGTGATATATATACAGAACTATAGTCTAGGTAACGTGACCATAACATTTATTTGTATTGAGATATACGCAAGCAAACGGTTAGGTCATCGATGTTGAATGAACATTTCATTATGGTTGGCTGCTCTTTTGAGCATTTTAAGATATTTGGCCCGTATAGTCGAGAAGTTTGCATCAAAAGGAGGCGCTCGTCTTTTTGCCAATCGTGAAATAGTTCTTTTAGCTGCAGTTACTTAGGTGAGTAGCGCAATGTTGCCATAAACACCTATATAAATGTTTGCCTTGGTCTGAATTCGTGATAGCTCTGTTCTCGCGTATTCTCGCGTTCGCAGTGATTTGCAAATTTGCAGAGCTGTATATTTCGCCGTTGAATTCATGTTATGCATCCAGAATTTAACTATCTATCTTAGGGAAGGACAAATAATGTAGTTAACAAGTGCAATAAGGCATTCGGTGAGGTTAGAAAACAGTGCATAAAAAGCCATCCCAAAATGACTTGATACGCTTCTGATTTTAAGACTTGCGCATTTTTAAAATCGAGTTCTCCAAGTCAGGGTGCATTATGTCGGCCAAAAACTAAGGTAGTCCATCCTACTTCTAGAAATCACAGTTTACCAAACTTTGTTCGTTATATCTGTCTATCGTGTGTTTGACTAAGAGAAAGTTTATAAACATTGATTTGATTGCTTAGTCTGACACTAGACACTGACTTAATTGGTTCGGCTTTCATGGGAAATGTAATCCCGCCGGTTCTTGCCAAGTGTAAAATTAAACGACGTTTTCCCATATAAGCCAGCACTTAGATAAATAAACACATCCAGATGCCTTTTTGCAGTACTTCTTTTTGGACYCATTGTGAAAAGTGCCAGTGGCGAATTGCTTCTTTGCGCAATGACATTTCAAAATTTGCCAACAATGCAAAATAGTGAAATGCAGAATTTTGCGAAATTTCGATTGCTCAATTAAGTTTAGTTCTTTTGAAGTAAATCTGTAAAGCAACGTTTTCTTTTGGTAGGAAAAAATTCGAAGAAAACTTGATTTTGTGGAGTGATTTATGTAGAACTACTGTATCTCCCACTTCTCCCGACTTGTCAAGGACTTGTCGAGTTTCAACATCGGTACTGTATTTGCCCTGTTCTTAATCCTATCAATCCTGGATTATTGTAACCCTGTTTTGTCCCCTCATTTGATGATGATTGATGATGAGGAAATATACTGGAAACTTCAAATTCAACATCACCATTTAAACAAAATATGAAGCCGTAGTGAAGAACTTAATGTTGGAAACAAGCGGCAATGAACTAGTGTGAGCTGCGTCGGTGTTTCTAAAGAAACAGTTGTTTAAATAGATTTTAACACTGTAAAAAAAGTAGGTGAAACAACTTACTTTTTACCTACTTTTTTACCGTGTTAGAATTTATCTTTATCAATGTTTATTATATAGTTATAATCAATAAACAAGTTTCACTGATGACATCACGATTAAAACGGTCTGTGTCCTCGTCTCTTAGYCTGTTCAAGCAGAAACGTTGGCTATTTGAGTAAAAACTTATTTGACATTTTATAAAGAATTGCTGCATTCTACTTATGAATTAAAAGCTTTAAAATGGCATATTGGTATTGCATAAATACTTGCAAAGTAAGAGAACATTTAAGAGTGAAACTTGACCTTAAAAAGATCTGCTAACAAAAGAGCACCATTCTAATTCTGCTTGCAAGAGAACACGTACGTAACGGACGTCACATTATGTAATTGAATGGAGGCACTAAACCATGAATGATTTGGGACTAAAGTCACCTGGAAGGATAGCTAAGTTGGATCTCTGGTTTCGTGTGGTATTAGGTTAAGATTTATTCAGCTTACAAAAATCGCAGGCTACTGCACCAGTGAAATATTTGGATGTGTTAATATGCTTCAATGATCGCATCTTTTACCAAGAATATAGGTTCTTCATTTCATTGCATCAATATCTGATGGCGCTGTAGTCTCTCCGCGTTGACATATCCTTACGCTCCATAAATACATAGTTAGCAGACTAACTATGATAAATATTAGGACATTATTAGAATATTAATATTATTAATGTTATGATATATATTGAAGCCATAGATATTGATGCTTATCCCGATGAATAGCCGTTATCATTGAAGCATAACCATTGAATGAATAGACTATCAGGACCATGACGTCTCGAATATACATAATAAAGTGCTATGAGTGTTTTAGAGTGGAGAAGAAATTTTCCGAATGAATTTTAATGAAATATATTTAGGTCGAAAGATATATTTTGACTTGCTTCCTGAGGCCATTGCATTTGCTCTGCATGATTTAAGAGCTTAATATACTTGCAGGCGATCTTGAAAAAGTTGACCACCTAGGAAGACATTTCCCAGTGAACCATATCGTCACGTGTCCCTATTTCTTTTGCACGTGAAATATTCTATTTTGCTGTAAAAATACCTTCTCATTTCTCCACTAAAGGTCACTAAAGGCTGATTTACACGGTACGATTTGTCGCGCGCGACTTGTAGTATACGATTTTCCTACTACACACTGGAAAAAATCGCGCGCTTTAAAGGTTGTAAAGTTGATGTAAATATGATGTAAGTGTCCAAAATTCTGTAAATTTAATGGAAATCATTTACATCAAAGTTAAAGAATTTTGGACACTTCGCATCATGTTTACGATTTTTTTCCAGTGACAAGTCGTGGGATTTTAAGCAGTGGTTCAAAATCCTACTACAAGTCGTAGGTTGCGTACGACTGTTGTAGACAAGTCGTAGGGGCATTTACACTGCGTGATTCAAGTCGTATACTACAAGTTGCGCGCGACAAATCGTACCGTGTAAATCAGCCTTAAAACACCCCTGACATTCTAGACCATTCTAGATCTTTTCAAGATCTGTTGCAGCTGGTGCATGTTTTCTTTAGCTTTAATTTAGGGATATGATTCTTTATATTATTTTTTTATTCATACAGTTTTTTTTTTGTCTGCTCTAGAAGACTCCACGTAGGAGTGCTTTTAAACGATGCATTGAATTTAGCCGTGAAAGTTAGCTGTCCATGGACTGAAACCAAACTAAGTAACTAAGTTAATCAAGAAAAAATAAAAAAAATATGGGATGAATGCATTTGCCACTCTTATCTTAGTTTTTTTTCTTGAAGGTGAAAATGGATAGACGACTAGTTAGAGACCCGAATCTTTTGTTGACAGATGAAGCGAAACCTTTGTGACGCCAGARAAATGCTTCGATTAATTGATCTTATGTAATAACAACTGAGGCRTTTTGATGAAACTTTTTCGAATATGGTTTTATTATCTACAAAAGTGTCTTGGAGAATATTGAAAAACGGAGTTTTTGGGGTATAATTTTATTGATTTCTACTGTGGAAATGCTGAAAATAAGTGAATATCAGATTAAGACAGATTAAGGCTTATTTATTTCCTTTCTGCACAAAAATGATCATCGTTTTCGAAAATATCTGGGTACCGCGGTCAACGCACAAATGCAAAAAAAATTCGACTTCGAAGCTCCCCAGATACTTATGAATTCTGCCATTGTTAGATCAAAGAACCTTATTAAAAATCGAACAGTTTGCCAARTAATTAGCCGATTCCGGTTAAGTGACTTTGAACTAAAGAAAATAAGTCAATAAAAATTAGTATTTTTTTGCTAATCAACTTAGCAGCGTTTTGTCAAATGCCATCACCCAGCATGAGCGAATTCTTCCTTTGAATAAAAAAATATTTTTTTGTTTATAATTACCTTTTATTAGACGTTTATGTATTGATATAAGATTCAATCTATAATTCAAACGTACTCRATCGGCATTATTAGATATACTTTTCGCAGTTTTCGCTACATTTGGATGATTTCTGGCTCGTTTCTATCGTTTTGATTTTGTTATTTTCGTTTTCCTCTTTGAATACTTGATATTTAAGGAAACTTTTACTATAGTATGTCGGAAATGCAMAGTTTGTCAACGAATTTTGTGTTCTCAGCACATTTTTGACTGATTAATTCTCGTCACAGGAGGTTAATTAAGATATTGAGATATTACATCGGCAAGTTGTTCTGGTGATTAATTTTTCCTATAATGGTAGTTATAAAGGAAAATAAAGTATGATAATAGATATATGATTATAAGTTTCTGTTTTGAATGAAATATTTTTTATCGGTAAAAAAGCCGAGAAACTAGTTTTGTCATAGCCAATGATTACTTTGTATTGCCTCACAATGCAGTGTACATCATGCGAATCTTGAGTCTTTTAGATCAACTTTTTTTTTGACATCTTCATTAAAAGAAGTGGCCTTGAAACCACAGCAAGCTCTAAATGTTTAAATATATTGTTAGTAATGGTATTATTTAACCATATAGCGCACTATAGAGCAGACTTGTATTTGCATGCGCTTTATAAATAAATATTATTATTATTATTCTAGTCCGATTTTTTTGCTGAGTCGGATAAAAATCTGAAAATATTCTCGAATGTTAGTATCCCACAAACTTCGGTCATGACTTCCAACCCCGATTTTTTTKATTCTTTAATTGCGAAAATAGTCCTTCAAAATCTCTCAGGAGCAAAACAGTTATAGCGATGAATAAGAATTCTTTTTTGAGGTCTGAGCATATGTTTTCCGATATGGCTGTTATCCGGTTGCTATTTATTTACAAATAATATATTTGAGTGTACTCTATCTAAACTTCACGCATAATGARTTCTGAACTCATTGACGTCCAAGCACCATGGGTTTTTAGACTAAACTATTGTATTATACGAATCGTTTGAGTCCTCGTGCTTTGATCAAAGTACAACCTAAAAAAATGTTGCCTGYCAACGGAAAGATATGGAAAAATGATTGACAGCTTTTGGACTGTTAACCAAATTGTACACATCACAGTGCCCCCGTGCCGTTTGATATCAAAAAATATTGTACGCCGGGCGACGAGATATATAGAGAAATGATTTATAGGGGACTACGCAATATTTATCAGAATATTTGTCAAAAATGATCATTGCGAAAGATAATCCTGTGTCTCTYTGTGGGTGATTACTGTGCTAAATGACACGAAACRTTAGGAAGCGCTCATGGGTAGTCCAGATGTTTTCTTCTGAATAGCAAAATGAATTCMTTAARAAAMGTTCCTCTTCGTTTAGCAGCCATATATGGTAATCGTACCTTATTTAGAAGTACGACTGAACTAGTTTTTGACGAATTTCTCGATTTTTAACTGAGCTTTTTAAATTGAATGAACTAGCAGATATTATAGCGACACGACAACAGTCGGCCATCTTGTTTGCGCCCATATATGGCATCGATTAAATCAACCTCGTTATCAGGCCCTTGTCGGCCATTTTGAAAGACGAGCCGAGAASCCCTGGACACGAGCTTGAGATTCATAAAAAGGAATCCCAAAACAATAAATCACAAGAATCCCGCACGAATAACAACAATCAATATTGATATAAAAATCTATTGATATGTGAAAGAACTAGAACTTATGTTATCACAACGCGTTGCCAATTATCGCATTTGGGCAATCACCTAGGTTATGCATTCTACCCATGAGATTAGCTATTGAATTGAATACTTGGGATGTTTAGAAAAATAAGGGCACGACCTTCACAACACCATAGTCTAGTCTATAATAAGAACTTGCCAGTCGCAAGATGGTCTTRCATGACGTTTCTTTTCATCAGTTCTATTCCTGGTGTTTGTCTATCAGTTGTTAAGTTGTGTTTTATATATTTGTTCAGATAATGAAGCGATTGAAGTTGATCTACGGCCTGGTCCTCCTGTGTCTGATSAGCCATGCTACAAGTAAACAAGGTAAGAATATGATATTGAATATAGACTTCAAAAGGCATAAATCTTGGTTTTAGGTTATAATATCCAGACATTTCKCAGTTCCAGCAGCCGACTGACTGATACAAAAACTGGACAGATTATAAATAAATGAGCGGGAGAGATTAATGTTCAATTAATCCATTGTTAATAATTCAAGTGAAAATGTCATGATGTAAAATACGTTTCKCTACGATATTGCAACCCTATTCTCCCCTCTTCAGTTTGAAAATATTGCAATGTTACCGGTTTTCTAAGAACAATAGAGACGAATGTCGACTTGAGGGACATCCAGATTAGATAGTGCTTGAATATGGACAGGTACTTGGCGCCCGGAGTACGGCATCCATATCTGCTAAAATGTGGATAAGACTGCAGGGACTTGGGATCGGTGACACGGGGACTTTTGCTGCCGTGATACAGTCACGCCGATCTGAACTGATTCATACGAGCTGCCTATGTATCAAAARGCAAAGTGCAACGACGCCATTTTGTGCAGCAAAGGATGATGGTAGTTGTAGTCCTTGCATATTTTTAAGTCTGCTAAAACAGTCCTCCTAACCAGGGTTTTTTTTCTATTCGAAAATAGAAGTATTTTTGCCTTGTTTCTATTAAAAGAAAATGTAAAGACGGATTTTAAGGAGATATTTTAGGGGCTATAAATCTACCATCGTGCTTTGCTGCACAAAATGGCGTCGCTGCACATAGCCTATTCAAACTATTTGATTCGGCGCGACGTATAAACTAGGCCTAAACCAACTTTTTAAGCCATTATTATAAACTAGAACACCAATAAGATGCATTTATAGTTATCATCTAGCATTAATCTCCATAAATGTTCATTAATTCTTAGGTAATCTAGGCTGTCCCAATGATGACAAATGCTTATATTTTACCAATGGAAAGTCTATCAAAGGCGTTGACATCAACATCAAGCATGGCCAACAAGCACAGACTTACCCCGTGATGGATCAAGCGACTGGTTCATTCGCTATTGACATTGATACGAATTCAAAAACAATCTTTTGGAGTGAGCAAAGTCCAAATTGGAAAATTCGTTCACTAAATTTGAAGACTGGAGAAGCTAAAGATGTGGTCACTGAAGGTATGGGCGTATGCAGTCCTATTCGCGTCATTAATAGACACAAAATAAAGAGAATTTGAGCGGCCTTATACATCTCTTTTCCTATTAAAGAACTATTGTGATGCAAAGCAGCTCTGTGTAAAATAAAACAAACAAACAAAGGTTTGTGTGCAGCTAGTTGAGGTTWACGCTGCATAAGACGGTCGAATCCAAGGCCAAGGGTTTTTTTGTTATGTGGCTAGCCACACCGTCAGTTTTAGAGTTAAAAATGTAAGAACAGAAATACTATATCTTGATATTAATGAATAAGAAGAAAATTAAATCAACTAAAGGAGCATTAATTCAGCGAAACCCATTTCAGTTCCTCATCAGTCCAAAATCTACCCATTTGATATTTTTCTCTTGYTAGCTACCCCCATTGGTGAAGTTCTGGATGCGCCATTAGGCCTTATTGACTTCATGATGTTATGTTTTTCAGATGTTGGTGAAGTGGAAGGCATTGCTGTTGATGCCGTGCACCAGAACATCTACTGGACAAGCTTTACGTATGAAAAGATTGAAGTAGCTACATTCAGTGGGACTAACCGCAAAACGTTGTTTAACAAAAGCAGTACCTTCGGAGCGCTTAATGCGAGGATACTGTACAATCCCAAAGCAATCGTTGTACATCCTATCAAAGGGTWAGTATTCAGATCAGRGGTCGAACTCTAACTGTCAATTTCTGCTTTTGCTCCCGTCAATCAAAACTAGCTCCAGGCCTACTCCGGGCCAAAAAGTCGCCGCAACTTAAGACAACTTTGGCGACTTCAGAATAAAATTAGGGTAAATTGGGCGGGGCACTGTGGCATTTTAAGGCGTCYTAAGGCTACTTAAAGAAATTTGGATGATAATTAGGTGGGGTCCCTCGGCGACTAAGKGCGTCTTAAGGTGACTTAAGGCGACTTWAGGCAACTTTTTGGCCCGAAGTACGCCTAAACTCTGGAATTCATCAAGTTAATTACTGTCGTGAATATGTATTTATTTTCCGTAAGCTCATGAAATTTTCAAGGAGGCCAATCTCGAAATCGTTCTAGACACGGAATCCGCGGAACCCGCGGACAAACGTTTGGCGCTGTACATTCTAGTTCTTCATGTAACAAATCGTTCCATTCAATTTTGTATATTTTTTTTTCATAAAGGTATATATTCTGGGTTGATTATTACCTTACATACTTCTTTGGTTATTGGTTACCCTTCCAAGAGGTCGCCCGTTCTACCTTAGCAGGCACGGAATACAAACCAGCAAGACTTATTCTTGGTTATGTCAATCATAAGTACTACCCTATGGCTCTTACACTTGATGTTACCCAGGACCGTCTATATGCGTTTGACAGCGTAAACGGAGAACTCGAATCTTTGGACCTGAACGGCAATGTTATAAAACTACACCACAAGTCTGGTCATTCTCCACTTCCCTCTGAAATGCTTAAAATGGATGATATTGTTTATTGGGCTGACCGAAAAAGCCGTACAATTGAACGTTTGCAAATTACACAGAAAGGAGACTGGAGGCGAATGTCATCTTTTGGACAGCTTACTACTGATCATGACCCCCTTCTTGGAATWACCGGTTATAATAAAACCGGTTTAACAGGTTAGACGGCAATTGTTGCTTAATGGTATTTTTAAAAGTATCAAGATGGCGGATGTCTTGTTAGCCTGCGTAGCGGCTCTAGGGTCTTGTTTTCCCTTATTTTCCGTTCATCGTCTCTTCCGTCTTCCCACCCTCTCACCAAGAGTTGCTACGCAGTCTATTGTCTTGTGAGAACTATAGAAATTGAAAATAGTGACTTTTTTAACATTTTTGTTTGTTATCTCTGTGAAGACGATTAGAATCTAATTACAGACTTGTCTGAGAAATAATCAATCCCTGAAAGACAAGAAAAATAGCAAGATTTCAACAACTGGCTTCAGTTTGTACTTGTCAGTCCCATAATACATCTCGCAGACTTCATTACTGAAACTTTGGGCTTCCTTTATCACTCTCACGGTTACTCCCACTATAATATTAGAGGGATGTTATATTGTTCAAAAGACAGATGATTCAAAGCTGAGACCGCAATGACGAGTAGGGTACTATTTTAATAATGATAAAATAGTAATTTCTATATCATATGTATATCATTTTAAGGAAGTACAACTTGCACAACAAACAATGGCAACTGCAGTCACCTTTGCCTCGTTACTCCAACCAGAAGARTATGCGCATGCCCAAATGGGTATGATCTGCTGGMCGATAAWCAAASGTGCAGTGACGGTAAGAAATATATACCAACTCAGGGAAATTTATTTGTATGAGGCTACTTACTCACTAGTTTATACTAAAGCACTGTATACCAGGAAGGATCTGTTTAATTCCAGTCTTAAAGACGCGAAAACTTTGATAGGTTTTTGATAATGTGTATATTTTTGCACTAAAAATAAGCATGCCCTTAAAAATAGATTATTTTTGGTTCAGTTATTTCAGTTGTTTGTCTTATTAGTATAGTTTACAACATGAGCGGCCGTGTTGTATGGGAATTACAATTGTAATTCCCATACAACACGGACGCGAATGTTGTAAACGACTTATAAAACTCCAACACAAATTAACATGAATTACAGTGAGATAAATGACGAAAAATGACAAATAAGGTAACTGCTGAGTTTAGTCCCTATTAAGCATGCGCAATTTACTGCAACACAGAACATTTTGAATAATTATCCATCCCACATGGAAAGCAAGCCATCTGTTGCATAAGCGAGTTCTGTTATCCGTCTTTGATTGCTTCAAAACCTAGTGAAGGTCTATGATGCGACACTAAAACTGAGACCTTTGCTAGTGTTGGGTTGTCTCAATGGTGACGACCGTGTTGTAAATCTGATACAACCACTANCAATGTATCCGTTGCTACTCCACCAGGTGAGATGTTATTGAATAATCTGTACAACTCAAAAACGACGTAGTTTCTCTGTTTTATATTTGTCTTGGACTAATTTTTATTCTCTAGCCTCGAAAGTGGGTGTGAATAATCGCAAGGAGATTTGCTCTTGCTCTTGCTTTTCTCCAATTTTCTGACTTTCTACAGCTGTTGGACTTGCTCTTGCTTTGCTTCTTCTTGCTTTTGCGGGTGTTTATGGTAGATAATCTCGAGGAGATTTGCTCTTGCTCTTGCTCTTGCTTTTCTGACTTTCTACAGCTGTGGGACTTGCTCTTGCTTTGCTTGTTCTTGCTCTTGTCAGGTTTGTTCTTAATCTTGCTGCGGCCTTGTCGTACTTGCATGACATGTTTTTGCTCTTATTCTGCGGGATTTTTGTTCTTTGTTTTTGTTCAGTTGTTTTCTTGGCAGTATTCTTGCAGTTGCTTTTAACAATGTTATCATTCTAATCATTGAGTGCTATTCTATATCTTAATACTGCTTATACTCTATTCTTATTTTGTTCTAGACATTGAGGTTCGTCTAGTAGGGGGACGATGGGAGAGTGAAGGACGAGTCGAGATAAAGTACATTAACAAATGGGGGACTGTTTGTGATGACAATTTTGACATTACAGAGGCTAATGTGATTTGTCGAATGTTGAACTATTCAAGAGGTTTGTTGATAAAAATTAAGGTCAATTATAGTACGTTAAACGCCTATTATTTAGGTACAATTAACTGGGTGGGGTCGTCAAAGCCCGATAGTAGCGTTAATCCAGGGTTGACAGACTGCAAACATTAATCCAGGATCCGCTGATCGAGCTTTGAACAACCCGGCCCTGAACAGTTTAGAACATAGATGAAGAAGAGCTTTAGTTCCACCCCACGACTCCCCCAGAACAATGTTATARATATCCAGGAAATATTCCCGATCAAATCATTGAAAGGGGGAAGCAAGCATGACTACGATGTGAACAGGGTTTATACTACAATCGTTGCCAAAATAACTTGGACCATAGAATTATTTGTCTCTATCCTTACATTTTTCTTCTTTATTTAAATTAATTAGACTCCTTTCATCAATGTTGGGTCTTGTTTTGGATGGTTTTGTACTATAGTAACATGCTCAATGGCAACATTGCAGCTAAGGGGGGCAAGRGAGGATGAWTTTAGCTGAATGGACCAAGCATTTTGGCATTAATTGTAGATATAGGCCGCGGTTTATCAAAATTACTGATTCCATCTATGATCCATAATCCTCTTTATTCTTATAGTTCATATTGCTGTCATATTCCAAATTTTGTCGTTCTTTCCCTTGTAGCATTAGCAGTAGATTACCGTGTCCCTGGTGGACCGCAAAATATGTCAATCTTGTTGGATGAAGTGAAATGCCGTGGCGATGAGAAATCAATCGCATATTGCAATCATGATGGATGGGGTGACAATTTTCATGATTGCACTCACATAGAGGACGTTGGCGTCAAATGTTATAACGGGTCGGACGGAGAACAAATGAGTCATTATTATAATGCAACTGGTAAGAAAGAAACACTTTACAGCTCTATAGGCTACAAGTCTTTGCGAGCTTGACTTTCCAATCTCGTATCCAGTCTCCAATTTCCTTTCCAATCTCCAAAGACTATTTCCTCTTACGCATGTGCGACATGGATAATGTTATTCATGTCGCGCATGCGTAAGAGGAAATACTCTCTGGGAACGAAATTGTACTTTCATAGAAGGCATAAATCTTACACAAGCCAATACAAAATGTTCTCGTTTTCCGCAATTCGACTCAGTATAAGATTACAAGTGGTTAATCTGATCACGTGGTCTTTCTCAACAGTAACCAGTTAAGATATRATCGACTGAATTCAGCTCATTGTAGTTGAATCTGACGGATTTTTATCCCAAGCAATGATTCACATCCTAATGTGTACTCATCTATCTTTGTCTTCCAAAGATATCAGAATTAGATTGAAGAAAGGACAATATGACTTTGAAGGAGTTGTCGAGGCGTACACACAAGGAATCTGGGGATCAATTTGCACAAACTCCGACTGGACCCTCAAAGAGGCTAACGTGATATGTAGAATGCTAGGTTATCCGGGCGCTTCGGACGCACAGACAAATGCTTTTTATGGAATAGCGACAGTCCCAAAGATATGGACCAGCAATGTGCGTTGCAATGGTAACGAACCATCAATCGGTTTATGCAGCTCAACTGGGTGGGGAAAAACACCAACATGCTCTCATTCGCAAGATGTATCGGTCAAGTGTCTATCAAATGACACAGGTAACAATTCCTTGCTRATGAAGTCATTTTCTAAAACTACCAGGATCACTCTGTTATATTCCGGAAATTATGAAAATGACCCCTAAGAGGGACCTGTATTTGGAGATGATGGGCGTGGCAGTGCTGAAATTTCACCCCTAAAAGGGTCCAATAATCTCGTCTGTTAAGTGACAAGACGTGAAATTGATTAAAATAAGCAGCTGTGGTTTTTGATCTCATAATGACGGATTAGGGACGTCATATATCCTAAAAGAGACCACAAAACTCAGTAGGTGGGAATTCTCGTCATTATCACCCAAGCGGGACCAAAATACCGATTTCAAACCCTAAAAGGGACGCCGAGGACCCTCGCCCTTTGATATTAGGGATCCCCCCCTCTTCCCGGGCGTTAATGGTGCAAAGAAACTCAGTCGTCCTTCGTGTTTATTGTTTATCAAACATCTGAATCTGACGAAATTGTTTTATAGCTTTTGGATTGATTTTTCTGAAAATCGCCACTGGAAACGTTCGCAAACATCAAAAAAATATCTTCAAAAGGAGTCCTTGAAAATCGCATTTTGGTACTTAATAAATACTTGAAAAGTCCTGGGATTTTGTAGCGAAAATGTAACACGAACTCTGATGACAATCTAACCTTGATCGCTTGATTTCGGCATCGAAGATCTTTACTGAACTGTAAGCTAGTATGTAGTCTCTCTGGAATCACGAAAATGTCCCACTTTGATACAAAACTCAGCTACCAAAACAGCTGGTACTGGGCACTGCCAAATGAGAAAGGAATTGCTTGTCTGATAATATAAAAAACATTGTTTGTAGGTTGTAAAAAAGATGTTGAACTTCGCGGTGGATACGCTGACAATGAAGGCTTCGTTCAGATCAAACAAGACGGCGTGTGTAAACATTTCTGTTCCTATGGCTGGAGCATGACATCTGCTAACATCACATGCCGACAGCTTGGGTTCCCGCTTGGTGCATTGAGAATMTTTGGGGATAACACGTTTGGAACTGGTTATGGATCCAGTGCTAACTTGGGAATAACGTGTACTGGAAATGAAACAAGTTTACTGGATTGTACGGCATCWCCTGGAACATCAAGATATTGCTACCCTGCAGGGGTTGTTTGTATGACCAACGACACTAATAACATTAATTCAGGTTCGTCTGTCTGTCTGTCTGTCTGTCTATTAGTGTCTGTCTGTCTGTTAGTGTCTGTTGTGTGTTTGTTAGTGTCTGTCTGTCCGTTAGTGTCTGTGTTTGGTAGTGTCTTTCTGTTATTGTCTGTCTGTCTGTTAGTGTTTGTCTGTCTGTCTGTAGGTTTAAAACTAATGAAAAATCAGCACTACTTTACACTAGAGTCGATGCACTTAGAGTGGAGTCATTATACCCATGAAATAAAATGTTACTATTTAAGTGTGAAAGTTGACTACTTAAAAGTCGGTAACCTCGTTGGTTTCTGTGTGTTTATTTGAAACTTTAGCTGTTAGATTTTGATTCACGGGTTGCGCACTTTTTCTAAGTATCTAAGTGTACCTATCCAGGCACAATCTCAATTTTAGTATTTTAATAACGGTACTAAACGGTTCCTACATTAACAGATCTTTCAGCGTTCTTGGTTGTGGCAGATCAAAAACGAGGTTTGAAATATCAAGTAGAATTCAATGATGACGCCAAGAAGCACAAATCCTATAAGTTCATTATCAGCGAGATCAAAAATCCAAACCATATGGCGTTCAATCCCATTACAAAACTCTTGTACATTTCCCAAGGGCATCAAATATATGAGGCTGACATCTTTAAGCGCACTGCGAAAGTGGTGGTGACACAARTAGGTAATATCCACGACTTACAGGTTGATCACGTGTGCGGAAAGCTCTACTGGGCAATGCATTATCATGACAAGATCATGGTCTCACACTTGGATGGAAGTCACGAGACTGAGCTGATACAGACCGAGTACATAATGGCCATGACGATTGACATTGAAAGCGGGTAGGTGATAAACCTCGTCCGTAGGCGTCTCTTTCCTTTCTCAAAAAATMATGACGGGGTTGCTGTGTTAGATCCAGAGAACGGAAATAGTAACGGGGCTGGAAAAATAAAAAATGAAAAGTCGACGCCACTTCATCCCACTTTTATTTCCTCCCTTTCTTCCATATTTCCATTGAATGAATGATCAAATCTAAACACAAGTCCGTCTGTGAGGGTCTCAATGGGGTTAACCGTGAGCCGTGAAACGGCTGAAAAATTAGCCGTTAGTCGTGAAAATGCGAAACAAAATAGCCGTGAGGCGTGAAAAAGCCAAATTTTTAGCCGTGAGTCGTGATACGGACCCCCCCATTGAGTCCCTCGTCTGTTACCTTCCCATAGGTTCATGTACTACATCGCTGACTACTACTCGAGACTTTACAGTGCATACATGGATGGCAGTAACAAAAAACTGATTATACCWCTATCGAGCAACGCTGAGCCATACTCTCTTATTCTGGACCGTATTAACAACGTTACCTACTGGGTCGATGATACTGATAACAGAATCAACTACTTGAACCTTTCTTCAGTCAAGTCTGGCATTCAAAAGGTGCGATCTTCAGTGCACATTAATAAACCCTTTGAGCTTGCAATATTTCGAAATTACTTGTACTGGACGGACAACGATCCTGGTGCAGCCGGTGGTCTGTATCGTCTGTACCTGTCCGGCGAGAAACGACATACAACAGAACTGGTACAAAGCGGCTACTTGGAGCCGAACGGAATTGCTGCATTAGATGATAATGTAGCGAAAGGTGAGACTATGAAGTTATTTTCCCTTTCCATGCAAGATCAGTGAAAAGTTTCAATGAAAATAATTGTTAAGAAAGTCGTTTTTTATTTTGATATYATAGAAGCGCAGATATGCGCGATGTTACCTTAGTGATAAGTGAAAGCGCGTTATCAAAATTTCATTTCCAATTTAAGTCTTTGAAAATATCCTAAATTCTTCTTCACATAATACTCCAGTTTCGAGATCCTATTTGTGCAGCCTTAACCTCGAAAGCATGCAAAACACCCCATGTTGTCTGTCGCTTTGTATTAGCTGGTATAGAGTACTCTATAATCTTTGAAATGTCATCTTCTTAAACACTTGCAATCCTACCAGAGTCGGTCATTTTTTGATGACAGCCGTTGTGTGATAGCGTGATGTATTCTCATTAGTGCACGGTCACTAGGTGTTGACGTGACGTATCGCACAATCACGTGATTGATTTAAGCCAATCGCGCGCATGGATTTAGTACATTGAATGAAGATTGAATATTATTTTTTTTTACATCAGCGCCTTCTATGAAAATATCATGCGGCGCCGTTCATGCACAACCATATATGGAAGACAGACCATTCTTGAAATGGTACCGTATTCACGTAATATTTCTATCATTTCTTCCATAGAGAACCTGGCTTGTAAGAACTGCAAATGCGAGCTTTGTTTACGGATCCCAACAGGACATAGGTGTAACTGTTCGAGCATCAAGATCTTMAACGAAACCTCGGGACAATGTAAGAATGTCCTTAAGGCGAACCCGGTGGATAGGAAAACGAATTCAGATCTGATCGAAGCGGAAATATCATTTCATTTATTTTTTGTTATTTTACTTCTCCGATAAGACATTGATAAGAGCATTAAGATGGGCGCCATTTTGAATTTTACGGAAGAAGTCCTTTGCTTTAAATTTGGACGTTTCTGAAAAGTGTTTTCTTTTCTTTTTCTTTTTTTCGCTCAGATTCTGACTTTGTTTCCTGTTCCGTTTCTCTTTGAATTGACTTGAAGCCAGTATTTATAAAGGTTCTTGTGCAAACGTCTTTTGATTTTTCTGAGAAAGTTGAGCATTAAAAGTTTGAATATTCATCAACTGGAACTATGACCCATTGAATTGCCAACAGAATGAATCTGCGCACTTTCACACAAAACTTGACAAAAAAAAAGAAAACTTAACGTTTAAAGATGTCAACAAGAAATTCTTCCTGGTGGACTTTTTGAGCTAGAATTTCTAGTATGTTTGCTGTTTCTTTGGTGTTAATGTATATTCGTTCTTCCAGGTTATTTCCCCGATTTCCTTGCCACTCCGGACTACATGACCGAAAGCGTAATGATGATCCCAGAGGACGAAAGCTTGAGACATAGAAAGCACCTTATGCCCATTGATMAGAGTTATCTTCCCGTAGCAATCGAGTGTGATCCAATGGAGGGTCTTATATATTATGCTGACGCTTACAGATCGATAATCGCTCGTATCTTTTACAATGGTTCTTCGGAAGAAGTAATATTAAATGCAACGGATGATGTTAAGTATCCGAGAGGATTAGCCATCGATCAAGTAGGAAGAAACCTATATTTCACAGACACAGATAAAAACACCATTAGAGTGTGTAAACTAGACGGGTCTTCAGTCAAGACGCTCGTCAAGGCGGGACCTGCGGAGCCATGGTCAATCGCGCTCGATGTTAATTCGGGGTGAGTAATCTGTACTTTTCTGATGTAAACGTCGTGTAAGTGTCTAAAATCATAGGAATCAACACGGGAAGACCAAGGAGAGAAAAAAAATCCGTTTTCTTAGGAGTAGCTTGGGAAAAGTCAAAGTCAGATCTTAGGACTAGGGTTCATATAATTGTTGTATCGCCCCWAACCGCAAAACGTGTTTTATTAATGGTTGATTTCCTTGATGAAACTAAAAAGATGCAARACGTAATGGATAATAGACTTCATGGAAACCCTTTKAAGTGATTCTAGCGTTAATTAGTGAACATCGTCAGTACCCATAGCCCGCACTTKTGCCATCCAGCGGATGTCAATGCATGAGAGACTCTGGGGGATTGCGTTATTTCTCGATTCGTGATTGGCTGAAAATGACGCGAGCGCGCATCGCGCGGGTTCAAGATTGTAGCATCATGAGCTACCATTAGAAAACTAGGCCTAAATCTAATGTTGGGGTGTTCATAACGCAGGTATATGTACTGGGGATCCCGGGAACTCAAAGGTTTCTACTACTATGTTGGTGTACACCGCACAACCATGGACGGCAATGATAATAAAGTGTTGATTCAGTGGATTGCATCGTATGGTTACGCACCAAGCCAAATGACCATATACAACAAACGATTATACTGGGTTGGATATCATGACAATCAAATTGAATATATAAACCTCAATGAAGACTCGGTAGTCGTGAGTATTGCTGTCATTTTTTCATATGAAAAGAATTGATAAAAGGTCTTCCGATGGTGATAAAATGATGCTACAGCAAGCATGATAACAACAACAACAACATCAGCAACAACAACATCAGCAACAACAACAGCAACAACAAGAACATCAGCAATAACAACAATAACAACAGCAACAACAACGTCAGCAACTACAACAACATCAGCAATAACAACAATAACAACATCAGCAACAACAACAACATGAGTAACAACAACATCGGCAACAACGATAACAACAACAACATCAGCAACAACGATAACAACAACAACATCAGCAACAACAACATCGGCAACAACAATAACAACAGCAGCAACAACAACAACATCAATAACAACAACAACAACAGTAACATCAACAACAGCAACAAAATCAACAACAACAACAACCATAAAAACAATTTTCAAAAGGAGAGTGGAAACGAATATGAAAATATGAAAATTTAATCTCACCACATGAAAGACCACACTACAATTAGTGTTCTTGTCAACTTTGAGATTATTTTAGTAGAACTACTCACCGTGACCGAGAAGGATTTTTCTCAAACTTGCAAAAATAAGAGAGAACGTATGTTTTTTTTGGGGACGCTGCTAAAGAGCTTCATATATGTAGTTTTTTCCAGTTTTGAGCACAGGCAACCCAAGCTCATTACATAATATTTATATGTGACTTCAACGGTCAAAATTTGATTTCTTTAAGTTTGTGTTTTTAAGAATAAAAATGACTCACCTTGATAACTTGTTGTGTCTTTTATCATTTGGCGGAGTTTGAAGCCGTTAAGAAGGGATTTTACCTGGTTTTCGAATTTTCTTTCCCCCACCTATTTTTGACCGTTGAAGTCACATATAAATATTATGTAATGAACTTGGGTTGCCTGTGTTTTGAGCGCTTGCAAATCTGTAATGCTCTCAATACACTCAAACTCAGAAACAATACAAATCTTAGTATGCTCTTTCTTGTCCTGGTACATAGTATGTGGTGATTGCTTCAAACTGGAGTGACTAATCATGACTATCACCGTTAGTCCCTTTTTGAAAACAGAGGCAACGATAATGGCAATAATAAGAACAAAGACTACAATTTACGATACTAATTTGTTTCTGACACAGCTTTGGACAATTCCTTTGGACAATTTATTCACACATGCGCCCTTTGTCGAGAGTCTAATTGCACCTTTTGTCTTTTAAAGCGAAGAAAGATTTCTAAGTACAGATCCTACCTGTACTTTGCTGAAGGAATAGCCGTAACCAATTCTAGCGTATATTGGACGGATTGGTGGGAAAGCAGCATGTTTTCTGGGAATCATGACGGCACTGCTACAGCAAAGCGTATCTTAAAGAAMGTTTTTGGTATAGGCGGTTTGAAGTATTGCAAAGGAAGGCCTACTCCTCAAGAAAGTAAGATTKTACCACCAAAAGGCGCACTAACTTGTAGTTTGTTTTCAGGATTAGACGTCAATGATCTAATAACATAATCTAAACATTGTTAATCACATTGCGGTATTTTCTCGTGAATTCTTTTGTGTTTTGATGATGTCYTTTCGTAAATGCCGTCAAATAAAACAGAGGTTATTCGCTTTGAA